AATTGCTTTCTTGTCTATAAAGCACACCGTGTAATTGAACTGTGATGCAGACCTGAAAATAACTACACATTTTAAACTACCGTAAATCTGTAAAACGAAAGCCCCTTGTTTGATGTATCTATAGCGAAGCATTAAGCCTCTGTGTGCCTGTGTGTTTCAGTTTATGGAGAGCTGGAATCCTGAAGATAACCCTTGTCTCCTGTGCATGTGTCTGGATCTGCAGCGCATTAACTGCACAGTTCTTCCCTGCACGGGTGCTAAAGGTATAAAGCCAGGGTGTGAATACGTTCACTCTCTCTCTATAATGTGCACATCGTACAGTTAACAGCCCCATTTCCAGAAGTGATTTCTCTGAGAGTTGTCATGGCAACTGTTGCTGTGTTACAGCCCCAGAGTGTGGACAATGTGAGGTTCTTCAAGAGAAGACGGGATCTAAGTGCTGCCCTGAATACGAGTGTGGTGAGGATACACACAAAACAAACCCTCTTACAGTTTGAATCCTGTCTATAAACGGCATAACTGTAATTAATTCCTCTTCAGCATTTATCCCATTCAATGTGTGGCTTTACATATAATCTGCCAGGGATGCTACTGATGTGTTGCCGAAGCAGAACTGTACAGTTGTGCACTCTCGCCTGCCACAGACTCTCTTTAGCTGTAGAGCTTTGATGAAATATAAATATCATAAAAAAATCTATTTAAGTTATTTAAAGTAATAATAAGTAATTTATGGCTATAATTTACAATTTTACTCCGGTTGCATTATTGGTTTGAATTGGTTAAAAGCCTACACAAATTCATTAAAATGTATCAAGTTTAACTAATTTCTAAAACATCATTAGTGGATTGTTATTGCAGATTACCTTTACAAAGATGCGGCTTTCTTTCTTTCTTTCTTTCTTTCTTTCTTTCTTTCTTTCTTTCTTTCTTTCTTTCTTTCTTTCTTTCTTTCTTTCTTTCTTTCTTTCTTTCTTTCTTTCTTTCTTTCTTTCTTTCTTTCTTTCTCTCTCTTTCTTTCTCTCTTTCTCTCTCTTTCTCTCTCTCTTTCTCTCTCTCTCTCTTTTTCTCTCTCTCTCTCTTTCTCTCTCTCTCTCTTTCTCTCTCTCTTTCTCTCTCTCTCTCACACACTCTCTCTCTCATACACTCTCTCTCTTCCTTTCTCTCTCTCACACTCTCTCTCTCTTCCTTTCTCTCTCTTTCTCTTTCTCTCTCTCTTTTTCTTTTTTCTCTCTTTCTCACAGAGAGTGTCCAAGTAGACCTATATAGTAGGACCTGAGTTTTTTGCGAGGCACCGAGGCCTTGTGGTTTGTGTATAGGACACATTTGTGCTCGAGTTCAAATTCCGACAATTCTCAATGTTTTTTGCCCATCCCATCCCTTTCTCTCCTCCTTTCCTATCTCCTACTCACTGTCCTTTCAAGTTCTGACTATAAAGACATTTGTGGCTCATAAACAGCTTTTCTTTGGACTTAGATTCTCTGTTACATTCACTTCAATGAGAATTGTTTCACTTCCAAAAGTGTGTTAGCACAATTTGTCTGCAGGATTTGATAAAAAATCTTTATTGCCTTTTTATTTTTAAATAACACACTCTAGCTGTTCTTTGCATGGGTCTGGTTGTATTATTAGAAAACAGTAACCTGAATGAGGATTATTTGAAAGACTAAATTAGAGATGACAAGAATTTATCCCATGTTAAAGTTATTGTTAAAATGACGGTCCTGCTGTAATAGAATGTTGTGCTTAACTGTCTGTTTACAGTGTGCGATGTGAGCTGTAAGCCTCCGGATCCCCCCCTCTGTGATCATGGGCTCAGCGTCATCCTCACAAACCCCGGAGACTGTCTGCCAGTTTACCAGTGTGGTGAGAGCACACACATTCCACTGGTGCCAACATGGGGATTTGGTCTCTAAATTTAGCAAGTTTCTGGCTGCTAAAGCAAATTATACACATTTTGTATACAGAATATAAAAAAATATGTTTCGGTTTAGTTTGGGCTTATATTCACTTTTTGTTTTTTCCAGAGCTAAGCCAATAATTAGTTGTCATTACTAGACGTCATGTGGTTTCTCAGCTACTGAAATCATCACACAGACGACATATTTAATTATTTTAAACATCTTTAGATCTTGACTTGGATCTAAAGATCTTAATAACGCCAGTACACTTTTACTTTTGACACCTTTATTACTTTGAAAACATTTTTAAATAATACTCAAAACAGACGCTTTGAAACATTTTCAATGAGTCGAATGTGAGCAACTTTTTGGCATTAGCAGCTCAATTTGTTTCGGTTCTCACCAACAATGTTGGAAAACTGCTGGATGGCTCTTGGAGGCATCTCTGAGAATGAGGCTGAATCCAGTTTCCCATTCACAACTTCTTTTTGGTCCACTCTAACAGACGCAACACTTCCTGCAACACGCTCAAGCTTTTCAGTTTCTTATGCACACCAAACTTTTTGTTTCACTTTATAGAGTGGGAAGAGTGAAATCAATGCGTCCACCATATTTATAGCGTGATGCCACTGTTCCCATGGTTACACATTAAACTCACTGAATCCAAATGATAGAAACTAAAACTAACAGAATTATTTTGCGGTTTTGTTATTCTATTTTATTCGTGATCATTTTTTATGTTTTGTATTTTGTAAATTTTTAACGTCAAAACAATTCCAGTGCGACTTTTGGAAACTAAGAATACAAACAAAATGGCCGCTGTGCCAGATGTGATTACACTTCCTCCAGGTAATGAAGCAGCTCTTCTTGCGTAGCTCCAAGCTACACCTCTGAGGGAGATTCCATCATCTTGGATTTCTTCAATTTTCTAATAATTGTGTCCAAATAGTTTTCGTTGTTACAGATAATAATAGAGAGGTTTGAGTAATGATTAATTACAGATGATTAAGTGTGTGGACAGGTGTTTTTTGAGCAGCTAGTGAGTTTAAACAGGTGAAATAATCCATGTATTGAGTGGAGGAGGTTGGTTGTTGGTGGGTGATTTCTTTAAATTATTAACCTATGATGAAAATTACAGATCATGGCAGTTTTTTAAATTGCCCTGTTGTATTAGACACTTAAATCCTGGCACAGCTTTACCTAATGAAAACATGGGCATTGAAATGAAGCATGAAATCTGCAAATCAAATTGGATATACAATATAATAATGTCATGAATATGATGATTCACTCATTATAAATTCAAGGCAATTTGGCTAGTTTGTACATTTTTCTGCTGTGTACAGTACTTAATTTCTGTCACATTTATTCATTTTGTTGTCACTTTAACAACGTCAACACTTTACTTTAACTCCAATAGACAAGTAGGTCACAATTACATGTCCAATAAATTCTAATTAATTAATTGGATGCCACTTTAAATGTCTGTTATATGTATGAATATAAATGCCACACTGGTTACTACTACTACTTAGTTTTTGTACAATTACCTCTGAACAAGACACTTCCAAACACAGATATAAACTAAAATCAGAAAAATAAAAATAAACAAAAAAACAACTTTCTGGAAAAATTGCCACCTCACATATTTGCACGTGCTCATATTTAGAGACACAGACACACTTTTGACCGTAGGTATTTATTTATTTAGGCCTTTAATTTTTGTGATTTGATGATGTACATGACAGGCCTCTGGGGGGTTGGGGGTGGGGGTTCTGGTGGATCTTGGTAAAGCGGTTCTTTAAATAGGTTTATGATGTGTTGCAGTAGATGCTTTAGGTATCTTAAAATTGTGTTTTTTTTATGTAATGTACCAGCTAAAAACACATTCTGAGGTGGCTATATTTTTTGAGTGGCACCACTGCTGTACCCTTAAAACGTATAATGTGACACCTGACACCTTTCTCTCTTTCAGTCTGCAAAAAGGATCAGTGTCCCGTGACCACAAACACATCATGCCCTGCACACAAGAAGCTGTCAGTCACACCGACAGAGTGCTGTGATTCCTACGAATGCGTGTGTGACTGCCAAAGCATCACACGGAGCTGCCCTCCAGGATACGTCACGACCACCACCACCAATGACTGCCACTGCACAGAGGTCACCTGCATGGCTGATAAGGTTGGCTGACTCTTGCTCTCCGGCTGTGAATGTGTCGTACTCATGCCCTTGCAGCTCCCTGTATTGATGAAGCGTGCACTCTGGAGTCAGCGTGTGATGGAGTGTGTCTGTGGGTCTGCAGGTGTGCGTGGTGGAGGCTGTGGTGTACCAGGTGGGCAGCAGGTGGCAGGAGAATTGCAAAAGCTGCATCTGCACAAGCCAAACAGACGGCCAGACGGGGCTGCACATTGCTCAGTGTGTGGACCCTGTCTGCAACCAGATCTGCCCTCTGGTGTGTCCTTACGCCTTACTTTTCACTTTGATTAAAGCTTGTTTTCTGATGTAAGAGTTTACAAACTCATCATTTAAAAAAATCAAAGAAAATTAAAGTCAGAGAAATGAATATCTAACACATATCATTTGTTGTAATCCCACGATACAAAGAAGTGTTTCTTTTAGTCTGCATCAGGCTTGCACAAATTTCCGGAGGGTTTTTTTGCCTCTTTTCTCCAAATCCTTCAAGGATGTCAACTTCATTTTTCTCTCCAGATATTCTATCCTTCTTTCCTTCTATATCCTTATTTCGACCACTCTTTTATTCCCTTGGCTGTGTTTCTAGGTCATTGCTGGAATTTTCACCCATCATCCATTTTTTTATCAACTATCACCCTCAAACCACTGGGTTTTGAACTCATCTGACCACCACACTTTCACCCAGATCTCCTCTGAATCGTTCAGATGTTCACTAGCAAACATTAAACGGTCCCTGAGAAAGTCCTTTGTTAACCATATTTGCTTCCTTGATTTCCCTAATCCTCCAGTACTGTGCAAAAGCTTTAGACGAGTGTGGAAAACATGCTGTAAACAAGTAATGCTTTCTGAAATTTAATTAATAATTGTTTAAATTCTAAATCAAATAAATGTTTGTTGTTACAAACTTTAGCCTTCAATCAGCATAGAGCTGGTAGAGCATTGTGCTAACAACGCAAAGGTTGTGGGTTCAAATCCCAGGGAAAGCAAGAACTGACAGAAAAAATATGTTCATTCAAATGTAAGTCGCTTTGGATAAAAGCGTCTGCCAAATGCATAAATGTAAATGTAAGAAACAGAAGCTAATGAGCCTCAATGTCACACGTAGGTTGAAGCCCAGTCATGAACTGATACAGAAACAGCTGTGCAGGAGGCTAAACGCTGGGGGAGAAACAGCCAAACTGTGCTACCAAGGTGACACCGTAGCAAGACACAGCGTAGCCTTAACAAAGACAAACGTAAGAAAGCTACATCCACAGAGGATCTGTGGATAGTTCTCCAAACTCTTCCAGCAGAGGTCGTTTAAAAACTGTCTACAAGTTTATTTAGAAGAACTGCTGCTATTTGAAGGCAAGGAGTGGTCAGACAAAAAAAAATATTTAATATTCTCTTTTGTTTATTCCCTGCACTTTGATCTTTGATACAAAAAATATGATTAACACCTCCATGACACAGCATTTTTATACCTGGGTACAACCTCTGCACAGCCCTATTTTACTATTTGTGACGAAAGCTCTATGGTCGGGGGGTGGTGATCGGGAAGGGGGGGGTTTATAAAACACAGCTTTGAATTATTGGATTTGTGTATGTGGTTACTGTGTTTAAGTTATTCATATGTATCTATTTCTCTCACCCCTCCAGACTTTGTCTCAGTAACATATCATATCAAGGAAATCATATCCTTACGATCCAGTTCTCCTTGTACTGATGTCTAGGAATATCATTAACATTAGTAACAGTATTGATCTTTTCTTTTTTTGTCCATGTAGGGAAGTGAATACTCTCATTCAGATGGCGACTGCTGTGGTCATTGCCGTAAAACAAACTGTGTGGAAGGAGGGCGTTTGAGACAGGCCAGCATTTATTCTCATTTTTACTTCACCTTTTTTATTAATCATGTGCAGAAACAAATAAAAAATGTATTTTATGCAGCAATGTGCCTCCATGGATGCGACACATTTTACGTGAATTCAAGTTTGAATAACAGATTCCACCATGCAATGTGCATTGTCATCTCAAGAGCTCATCACCGCTGCTTTTTATTTTGACATTAACATCAAAAGATGAACAAAAGATGAATCACTGCTGTTCTGATCAAACAATCTTCTTTAACTTTCCGTTTTGAAGGTGGGAGAGCAGTGGGTGTCACCGAACGACAGATGTGTGAGGAGTGAATGTGTGCAAGTGAATGAGGAAATGTTCATCCAGCACACAAACGTGACCTGCCATCTCATGGACATGCCAAGCTGCCCACTGGGCTCAGAGCTGCAGTGCAATGCTGTTGAGGATTGCTGCCCAGCCTGTCACTGCGGTACAAACTATACTTCCCAAGAGCCCTATAGTAACACAGATTTTAACTCTGTAAACTGCTGTTTCCTAATCCCACGGAGTGTGAAAGGCTCCATTAACTCGGGTTAAACTCTGCTTTTTTTCTTGGGTGCATCTTTAATTAATACGTTTGAACGACTCAGTTTGACCTACATTTAGCTTTTGACCTTAAATGAAACAAAAATGTTATCACTCAGCTAAGGAGTGCTTTTTTGGCTCACCTGTGGCACCCCCAAGACTGATCCCCTGGCAACACATGAAAAGCAGATTACTGTCTCATATGCTGCTTTTAACCACGGGCTAAACACACATTTTGTCCTTGGCTTGCTCAATAACCCAGTGTTAAATGTTACTTTTAACCCTGGGCTGAACACAATTTTTGTACCTGGCTTACTCAGTAACCCAGGGTTAACTGCTGTTTTCAACCCTGGACTAAACACACATCTTGTCCTTGGCTTGTGGATCATCGTGAGGTTAAATGTTGCTTTTAAACTATTAGCTAAACACAAATTTTCTCTCTGACTTACTTATTAACCCAGGGTTAAATTATGCTTTTAAACCTGGGCTAAACACAACATTTGTCCCTGGCTTACTCAGTAACCCAGGGTTAACTGCTGTTTTCAACCATTGACTAAACACACATCTTGTTCTTGGCTCACAGAACATCCTGGGGTTAAATGCTGCTTTTAACCCTGGGTTATACACAAATTTTGCTGTTGCCTTGCTGAGTTACACAGGTTTAAAAGGCGCTTTTAACTCTGGGATAAACCCGAAGTTTGTCCCTGGCTTACTCAGTAACCCAATTCTACATTTAACCATGAGCTAAACACACATTTTGTCCCTGATTTGCTCAGTAACCTGGAATAGAATGCTTTTATTAACCTTTGGCTAAAAAAAATGTTTGTCCCTTGCGTTGCTCAGTAAAACAAGGTTAGATGCTGCTTTTATCCCTTGACTAAACATACATTATGTCCCTAGCTTGCTCAGTAACCCAGGGTTAAAGCTACTTTTAACTATGGGCTAAACCCAAAAGTTTGTCCCTGGCTTACTCAGTAACCCAGTGTTAAATGCTACATTTAACCATGGGCTAAACATACATTTTCTGTCTGCTTTGCTCAGTAACCTGGAATTAAATACTGCTTTTAATCTTGTGCTAAAAAAAATTATTTGTCCCTTGAGTTGCTCACTAACACAAGGTAAAATTCTGCTTTTACCCCTAGGCTAAACATACATTTTGTCCCTGACTTACTCAGTAACCCAGGGTTAAAGCTGCTTTTTACCACTGGCTAAACATAAATGTTGTCCCTGGCTTGCTGACTTTAACTCTATATTAAACTCTATTTTCATCTTAGGTAAAGCTAGGTTAGAAGTGTGACAGGCTACATTACCTCAGGTTAAACTCTGACAGACTTGTCTGTAAACGAGGATCAGTTTTCTTTTTAGAGGCTTAGAAATCCTACATAGTTATTTTGTCAGACGCTACTATTTCTTTGTAATTTAAGTTTCAGTGTGTTGTGTGTCTTTACTGAACTTTAAAATCAATTTCTAAGCCAAAGCTCCTTTCAGAGCCAGTTCTTCAATCCAGGATAGCAGTTATTTTCTCCCAGAAACCACTTACAACTTGAAATGTTAATGTTGGACCCTGTGCTCACGCAGCAAATTCACTGCTGCTGTCTTTGATTTTTTTTCCCTTAGACGTTAATCCATTTCTCTCTTTCTCTCGCTCTCCCCACAGTTCCTCTGAATGCCTGTGTGCTGAATCAAACTGTTATTGCGGTAAAGACGTGGAGTTAACATACTGAATACTAATGTGCCGCGTGCAGATGTCTTGGTGCATAACAGATTGACTTTGGGGTGTCTCTTTTGCTCAATGTGTGTGTGAGTAGGCTGGAGAGCGAGTGATGCTGGATGTGTGCACACACTGCGAGTGTGTGGGAGATAAGAGGAGTTATCGCCTCTCTTGCAGGAAGATGAGCTGTTCTCCCTGCTCGGAGGTACAAACCCTCTCTCTTAACATTATTAAAGTGATAGTTTACCTGAGAGAGAGAAACAAAATCCCAATTCGTTCATCGTATGCCCTGTGACTTGACTTGCATTTCAACAGATGTTTTACACATGCTTGATGATAGTGAAGTCAAAGGTTTTTCATATGGTGCTTTTATGTTCTGCTTCACAGAAGGGCAGTATGATAACAGTCAATGAAAACAGAATCTTCATTTGATCAGAAATGTGTAAAGTAAGAATACAGTGGGATTGTGTTTGTGTTGTAGGGGTACACGATGGAGCCCATACCTAACGCCTGCTGTGGCCGCTGTGTTGCAACAGCCTGCAGCATCCGACGGCCCGATGGACAGCTCATCTCTCTGAAAGTAATATTTGCAGACACAAGTCAAGGTCACAATAGTCTCAGTGGAGTCATTTCAGCGTTGATCAAACACACGTTTGTCTTTTCTTGCAAAGGCATACCTTTCTTGGTAGTGCACGGGGAATCAAGGGAATTTTAAAGGGCATTGATTTAATGCTGGGTAATGCACTTGCTAGTGAACTGTCTCATGTTTTTAAAAAAGGAATCCCGCAAATTAGTTTACCCAATCTTTTGGGAATTTTTGAGGAGTCTGTTTAGTGAACCAGCAAGGCATAGTTATTGAATATCAATCAATACTTATTTTCTATAGCACCTTTCTGACTGGACCACAAGGGCTATTCCAGCACCAGAGCTTCAGGGGAGCCAATGTTACAGAGGAACATTCCCAGTAAACCCTAGAGATGGTAGTGAGGCACCAACAACCATACCAAGTTCACTTAAGTCCCCTCCTTGCCCACTCTGATGCTCAGTTTGAAGTGCAGCAGAACGTCTTGACCATGTCTACGTGCCTATAAGCTTTGAGTTGTCACCGTGATTGGCTGATTAGAAATTTGCGCTAATAAGCAGTTGAACAGGTGTACCTAATAAAGTGGCCAATGGATGTAGGTGCCAAGAGTTGAGAACAAATCACAGTTATTAAACAACTTACATTTCTCCTTACAGTAAGTGAAATGTTTTAACGCAACCCGTGGTATTGTAAATAGCTGTAAACTTCAAGCTTTTAAAATCACATTTAATAAACACAGAGTTGCCAGACCAAAACCGGTTAATCAGTGTTTGCTGACTAAATAAAACAAGTGTATTGTTAGTTGTGTGTGTGAACCTAGGCATGTTTGGTTGGAGTAATGTTTACAAACGTCTGTAAAGTTTAATGGGAAAATGATCTTTGTGCCATATGATTTCTTTTAAAGGAAAAGCACTCAATATCTTGTTATTTTAACAAACTAATGCTACTTCACAATATGAGCTTTTCATGTTAATATTACTTCAGTAAAATGCTACAGATGTTCTGCCCATGTTCAGAGAGTGAAGAAAAATGTGTATTTGTGTGTCTTTTCAGGCAAATACCACACGCACTGATGGCTGTACTAAACACAAATGCAGTGTGAACAAGGATGAGGAGCTGGTACTGGAGACTCTTGTGACAACATGCCCTCCGTTTGACCGGAAAAGCTGTCTGGAGCATGGGGTAAACAAACACATGCATGCTCTCACACAGAGTCCCTCTGAGGCCACATGCTTTAGGCTAATTGTGACAAACAGAGGAATAATGCAAACACAATTCAAGATGAATGC